CAGCCGATTCAGGAAAATTATTACGAAACGGGTAGTGAAAGCAGCGACGAGGAGCTACAGCCCGATGGGGTAAAGCTTATCTTCGAAAACCGTACTTAAATACTCTTAGCTGGCCTAAGCTGATGGAGTATCGACTAACTGATGAAGTCTTCAAGCAACTCTTCCCAAAAACCAATCACAAAAATTGCGTAACTAACCAGTTTTGTAATGTTTTAAGAAATTTGGCTGAAGTCGCACAATAAGTAAGTTTTAATTGATATTAAAGATAATATTTAATGGAAAATAATTTACTGAACAGCAATTTTTGGTTCATTAAAACTATCCTTTCTATCATTTTTGTCATCTCAGTTCCCTTCTTCTTGTCCTGCATTTTCTCCCCTCTCCGCCCTCCCCCCCACCTTCCGGAAGCCTTCCTAGCTGTTTCTTGATACTTGAGACACTATGGTGGAAAGACTGTGAATCCCCGTGAAAGTAATCGATGCGGTAATTACGACAACAACAATCGCGGTATAATTTTTCATCCTTATTGCAGGTGTTGAGGACGAATGAAGAACCAGCGGAGCATGTAACAGATGAAGATGAAGGTCCAGGAACAACTATCGGCAGTGTATTGGAATCGAGAGAGGAATTGCTGAATGATACGCAAACGCCATCTGTTGCGAAAATTCGGGATGTAGCAACGGAAAATAACTCGTCTGATCAAGAACTTCCTCCACAAGGTATGTTTTCCAGTCAAATTGACATTCTTTTACTTGTTCGGTGTGTTCGAGCATTCCAAAGATAGTGTAACCCAGATAGAAGGGAACGTTTTTTCACTGGGCGCAAAAGAAATGTGATGAGGGGGGGGGGGCAGAAGTCTGGTTTATCGTTAGTAAAGGATGATATGTATCGAAACTGATGGCTTTAGGCAGAGCGTTGAACACATGTCATCGCACAAGAAGCCTTATATGGGTTTAGCCTACTTTGACTACTTCGAATTTGTGCCAACCAGTAACCTTTTCAATGCACATTCTTCATCTGGAGATTGTGGCGCATATCCACTTTTTGTCCGAGATAGACGTAACTGTCAACTTCTTTCAAGTACTGGTGAATAATATTATGGCCCGCGTGGAGGTATTAGGGGGC